CTAACTGTGGCAAGGGACTCATCCTTTCATGGAGGCATAGTTTTCCATGATGGATGCACTAGAACTTTTAGAGGTTGGTTCCAGCCCCAACTAATCAGAGCCTTGATTGCTGTTATTGGCTTTCAAAGCATTAAACAAACCCATCATCTTAGAAAAAGGTGGTTGTCTCGTATAAGATATTCCAAAAGTTTTTTCTAGATGTTAGGCCTGTTTGAGAATGTGGAGATGGGGCGTTCTAGTTATAGGATGGATTGGGTTGTTGAAACTTTGACATTCATTAATGTTATGGTTCAGGAGTGGTGGTGGTGGTTGCTTACTCTAGTAGCTATAGTGGTGTGTTGGTTGTGGGTAGAGTTGGCAATACTGACCCGACCCGTGACACGAATTGACCCAAAACGTAAACCCGAAATTGACCCGAACACAAAGTTGACCCGACCTGACCCATACCCGACCCAAAGTGGAGTTGACCCGGAACCCGAATTGACCCGACCCATATTAACCCGACTCGAAATTGACCCAATACCCGAAGCGACCCAACTCAACCCGAAGTGACCCGAATTGATTGATCCGAACGGACCCAAAACCCGAAGTGACCCTAATTATACCCAAACTGACCCAACCCAAAATTCACAAATACTCAAAATCTTAACTGATTTCGGGCTTAATTACTTTAACCGAATGAAAATTTATCAAAAACAACCTAAATTAAACAGTATAGTATTGTGTGTATAATACTGCAGAAATGTGCATGTAATTTATTACTCGTAATTCATAAAGAGTTCTATTTGATTAGGAACACTAGTTTTTGATATTGTTATTATTACTCTTAGCTTCTTCATTTAAGTGTTACATTGAATTTTTTTCCACTATTCACTTTAGGCCTGTTCTGATTTATTGGCTGGCTGGATTGGATTGAACTGAATATTTTATGAGTGAAGGGAATTTGGAACTGATTGGAGCTCAAGAGAACAGATCCTTTATCTAATTTGAATTTATGACTAATTAATCAACTATAATGAATTAATGATCATACATATGAAATAATACTGTGTATATAGTACTTGTCTAATAAATGTATTATTAATATTCAATTGTTATACCTTATACTTATTCACAAGTATAATATATTATTGGTTAAATTTCTATATCGACATAAACGAAAATTGACCGGATCCGAATAAACCAGACCCGAACCCGAAGATTGACCCGACCTGAACTCTACCCAAAGTGTTGACCCGATACCCAACTCGACCTGAATTGCCATTGACCCGAAACTGACCCTAAACCCAAATTGACTCGACCCGACCCGTACTTGACCCGAACGACCCGTCTATCAGGTGGAGTTGTGGGTATGATGGTGCCATTGCAATAGCATAAGGATAGTGAACCGGACAAAAGGGCCTATGTTGAACATCTATCTCATTTAATGTATTAGTAATACTGAATTCATTTTCTCCTTTAATTTGTTTCTCTTGCATCTCCTTAGGTGATTTAGAATCAGGTTACATAATTATTGATGCTTAATGAAGTTTGGTGATGATATGTCCCAAGAATTTTAAGATATGATATCATGTGCTGTTTGGTATGACTGTATGAGTTAGTTTGGGTTCGGTTCTTTCTGCTCACATGGGATCAAAACATGGGAGCCAAAATGGAGTTGTTAGGATCTTGCCACCTTCTGCACATCACTATAGAACTACCCCAATGCCTTAACAGGGCTTCCGTTCTTTGTGCCTCAGACTTTATATCTCACCTGGAATCAACAATGCTTTCACTTGTATATGAATGAGTACATGACCTTCGATTCAATTACTAATGTTCTATTAAGAATTATGAGATAGGTTGTCATATTTGATTGGTAGGCATCTACTTGATTGTATGAAATAGAGTATTTATGAGAGCTGAAATAGAGTTGTTAGAAACCTGTCAGCTGTCACCATGAGCAAGCACTATAGGACTACCCCAATGCCTCCGACAGGACTTTCGAACTGTGTTGCTTGAACATGTTTTCACCTGAAGTGTTCCCACCAGATAACGATGCTTTGAAACTGTATGTAGCCATTTCTGGTTCTTTGGTCATGTACTATTGCTCAACACTAGCAGCCAAGTTTAGGTAATGTAATTCTTGTCTACTGTAGGGTTGGGTGGAGGAGGTGGGGGGAGACGTATGAATCTCTGTACGACACAGACTATACTTCTTCTGTAGGCCACAAAAAATGAAACATTGAAATAGTTGAAATTATTCATTCAAAAATAATTGAAATTATTTATTGGTTCTTTTTGCATGTAAGGGCTAAGGGGTTGGATTTAAATGCTACTTCTGCCGTTTCTATTTAGTTGACGCGTTTAATTTAGGCACACATATGAAGGAGTGGAGAGAGAAAGAGAATGATAGAGCAAGTGGGGTACACAAGTAAATGTAAGGTATAAAACTTACCCAAAAAGAAAACGTGTCAACTAAAAATAATCTTCCTAAAAAGGAATGTGTCAACTGAAAAAAAACGGAGGTAAGTATGATTATGGAAAAATTCACAACCATAGTAACCCATTGGACTGGTTAATTTTTATTTTTTTATTTTTTCCTATCTATCTCTTCCTCTTCAGCCTAGCCAAGCTCCTCCCATCCCGTGCCACCACTCTAGCTTCCCTCCCTTAGCCACTATAACCTAACCCTAACCACCACTACCACCATGAATAATACCTTCTCCCAACTACCACTGCCACCACCAGCCACCATAACCAGCACGAAACGAACCCTTTCTCCCTCTCTTTCCTCTTCTTCTCTCTCCTCCCATTCCATTGTCAACTGCAACAACCCATCCACCATTTTTCTGGCTTTTTGCTTTTCATTAAACCCTCAAATATCCCACAAAGTTTACTCAATTTAGGAGAGAATAAACCCTAATATATGAACAATATGCTTCCTCTGTCTTCATCCAAATCTCCATATCTTTCCTCATCTTTTACCTCTAATCATACCTGTCACCCTTCATCCTCCAAATTCATCCGTATACCTGTCACCTCCATCCTCAAACGACAATGTTTCATGTTTCAAAGCTCAGTTGCTCTGCTGGCCAAACACCCACACCCATACTCCTGTACCAAGGGCTGTGCACCGGTCCAAAACCGGAGCGGACCGGGACCGGAACCCGGAATAAGCTATTTTTAAGAACCGGAAACCGGACCGTATTCTGCCGGTCCGGTCCCGGTCTGGACCTGTTTAATACGGTCCATTCCGGTTTTGGACTGGTTGGGACCGACTGTACCTTCTTTTTTTTTTTTTTCCCTGCATTTTAACCTGTTTTTTTTTTTTAACCTGTGTACTTTCGAACTAGAACAGGAGCAATTTCCGGTGAGGGCTGTTAGGCGTCGACGGCTGGAGTGATCGGAGGAGGAGGCTGAGTTTAACAAATTGAATTTAATTAAACAAAAAAACAAAAACAAAAAAACGAAGAGAGGCTAACAATCGAACTAGAACATACCTGGAGGCCGGAAGTCGAAGAGGAGGGCGGTGCTACGGCCTGCGGAGATGAGGGCGGTGCCGTGGTCCGGGACCGTGGTTGAGAACAGGGGCGGAGCCGCGGCGGCGTTGGGCAGAGAGTGAGAACGGGAAAGAGGAGGACAGAGAGTGAGAGTGAAGAGGCGTGATTCGTGAATGAGATTGATAGAAGTTAGGGTTTTTAGGAAATTAAAAAAAAAAAAAAAAAAAAAAATATACACTTTTCATTAGCTCTGATGCATTTGAGGGTCTAAGAGAATTATCAGATATTCAGCCGTTGGCTGACAGTTTGTCACCGCTGGTAAGGATAGCAAACTCAGTTCTATTAGTTGCTGCTCTGCTTCGGCTGCTGGGTTTGGTTTAGGGTATCAATTTGGGGGTTCCCAAATGTTGCGCTTGGTGCTGCCAGTGGGTTTGAGTGAGGGAGACTTGTTCTTAGGGACATTAGAATCTGGTTGATTTATCCAAACTGAATTTGCACATAGCCTTGTTTTGTTGTTGTCTATCATGTTAAGTTCACGAACTAAATATTAAGTCGATTATACATCTTTGTTTTGCTATAGTCAACCACAAATTTGGGACTTTTAGAATTTTGCAATAGATGAACTATATTATGTGTCAGATTTTTTGGTTGTTTTTGGGTAGCAAATGGTTGACACATGAAATTGCATTTTATTTTCTTACCAGATTTAGTTAGTGGTGTCTGTTTTGGAAACTTTCAGAAGTTATATTAATAAATGCATGCTTATTGCAGGAAATCACTTCTATATTGACGGAAGATGGGGTCTCTACTGACAATATACTCAAGAACTTCTAATCTCATCAATTTCATGAGATGGAGCTCCTCTTCATCTGTTGTATAATTGTTACAGGAAGCAGTGATGTTCTTCCATTCATTTATTCCTCGTTGCTGAGTATCAATTTTCTCAGCTTGGAATAGCAAAAATAAATCTGATTTCTAAAATTTTGACATATATTACAACAGTAAATTAGCAATATTGTTCCAGTTATGCACCTTCCTTCGTGAGTCTATGCTGTATCTAGATACATAGTTGATAGTTCTCTAGATTCAACATCAGCTATACCACATTGTCGTCTCTCTCTTGAGAAAAGGATTAGGTATACCATATAACGTTGTATTATGAACTCTGTTTAAACTTTAAGCTTGTAATGTTCCCTGTATGTCTGCAATATAACAGTGGTTGAGTTGCTCAATCTTCTCGCTGATTAGTAGCTATATAGGCAATAAACAAGTAATAACATATATGGAGTAACTAGTTTGAAGCTGGGTTCTGTGTTCATGCCCGTAAAAAAAAAAAAAATTGTTCATGGAATAAGATTTAATTAAAATTTGTCAATTACTATCTCAAAAAAAAAAAATAAAAAAAAAATAAAAAAATAAGAAAACGAGATACATGCCTAATCCCACCATACAAAACCTTGAAATTGGGTTTAAATAGGTCATATTCGACCATGAAAACTTTAGATCATGATCGAATTTCATATGAAAACCTTCGACTTATTAAAATTTATACAGAGATGAAGGAATAAGAGAGAGAGGGAGGGCAGAGAAGAAAGAGAGAGAAGAGAAGAGAAAGGGAGGATCAAGGAGGGAAAGGGAGGATCGAGACATAGAAAAGAAGAAATAAGAGGAGAATATGAAATGAAGGGGGGACTGAGAGACAGAAGCGCTAATGTGAAATGAAGGGGGAAGGTGGGCGGCTGGATTAGTAGGGTTTTGTTTTTGTTTTTTGTTTTTTGTTTTTTTTTTTTTTTTTGACGAATTCCGTTATAAAATATGTACTTTATGACGGAATTAATCCGTAGGAAATTTCCTACGAAATCAAAATTCGTTAGAAATAAAGTATTTTCTAATGGATCCCCGTAAAAAAAAAAAAAAAAAAAAAAAAAAAAAAAAAAAAAAGTATTTTCTAATGGATTTAAATTCCAATAAAAATTTCCGATGGATTTTTCAAAGGAAAATTTATAATCGTTGGAAATTTTCGACGAAATTTGTCAGAATATTCGTATTTTCTAACGAATTTTCATGTCTGAATTGAAGTTATTCGTTGAAAATTGAGTCTTTTCTTATATTGATTTTATTAAATCCACCGTGGGAACTCTGTTTCATATAAAATAATTGCAATTATATAATTTGCTCTTCTTTTTACCCATTTCGAATCTTGTTTAGACTTTTTGTGTGTTTATGCTATCTTCACTTGAACAATTGATACAGTATGAAGGTGGTGCTGCAACTTGGGCCCCTATAGATGGTGTGCACATTTTTAGTTGCTATTATTTTGTGTCTAATTAAATGCATCGTTTATATGAAGAAAAAAAATGATTTTCTTAGATCGATTTAATCTAATTTTGCCTCCTTGATATTTAATTGGATAAATAACTTGTTATGTTATCTAATCTTCCTCGTGACCTTTAGGGCATATTTTTTCTGTGATTATTTTCTTTGCTTTTATATACTTGCAACACATTAAGGTATAAAATTTATATTGTAACAACTTAACAATAATGACATAATTTTTTTTCAATTAATTTGTATGTTTACCTAGTCTAATATGTTCTTTAATGTGCGTGTTAAAATGGCGTGGTTAATAAAAACAGGGTAAGTATATCACAAATTCACACAAGATCTAATTTTCATACAACAAGTCAATAAGAGTGAATAGAATTTTTTTTTTTTTTTTTTATTTTTTATTTTTATTTTTTTATGGTAATAAGAGTGAATAGATTGATTGTATTTTCTTTATATCTTTTTTAAAATCTAACCGAATGATCAAGTTTTATTGTATACATTCCGATTAATTTGTATCTCATTAGATGCATTTTTTTTAATAAAACAATTTCCACTATATTAATTTTAGATATTTTAATTTACTCTTTTAAGCTCTAATTGAACAAGTAGTGTTGTGCAGTTGTGCTTATGTAATCATCTGTTTCTCAATTTGGCATTTAGTACAGTGATCTTTTATCCTTCTTGTGACCTTATGAAGGATGTACACTATTTTTGTTACTTTTTTCCTCTGTTTTAAATTAGTGGAAAATTGTAAATTACTACCTTAAAAATAGGGGTGTAAATGAGCCGAGCCGAGTACTCAAAAAAAAAGTTGTTAATTAATAGCCCTAAAATTGATTAATTCTAGTAACTACTATCTTTTTCCCTAATCAGCCTACTTAATTATTTAAAAGCATCATTATCCGTCTAAATTGTAATTATTAGCTTTTTTTTGAAACAGTAATTATTAGCTTTTAAACATAATTAATTAGATAAACCCTTGCACCACCACCATACCACCATTGCACCACCTCCGGCAGCCTCCTTACCACCTGCAGTAGCTCCCCCACCGTGAATCTCGTTCCCCTTTCGATCCCCCATCGCGAAAACCACCTCTTCTGTTCCCCTAGCAAGAAATCCAATCTAATCCTCACTCGTTTCCCCGTCACGATTACCACCTTCCTCTCGCTTTCCACCTCAATTCCCATCCCACTCCTTCCCCTACCATGAAACTCATCCCTCTTCCGATCCCTCACAACTAATTGCATCCCCATCATGTGGCTGGACTATTTCCGAGGCTAAGGGGAAGGGGAAAGGTGGTAATCGCGATTTGGGAAAAGGGAGAGCTGGGTTTTAAGGGTTGGGGCAAAGGGATGAGCGATAATTACAGTGGATTTATGGTGGGAGAACAGGAGAGGATAGGTTTTGTGGTGAATGACCAAGAGGAGGATGAATTTCGGGGTGGGGGAGCTGCCGGAGGTGGTAAAGGGAATTTGTTGGAGGTGGTGTGGAGGTGGTGCTAGGATTTATATAATTAATTAAGGTTTTAAAGCTAATAATTACAATTTTATCAAATAATTATGTCATTAAAATCTTAAGTAGACCGATTAGGGAAATAGGTAGTAGTTACTAGTATTAATCGGTGTTAGGGGTTGTAATTAACATATTTTTTTAGGGGTAGTAATTAACAAAGGCCCTCTTTTTGAGATAGTAATTCACAAATTTTTCTAAATTAGTTGACAAATTTTAACATTTGATACTATTCATAAACTCTACATTGATGACTAGCTTATGTGATTCATTGATAAGAAATATCACTCTTATTAGATTTGTTGGAATTTTCTCAATGAGTTCAATTTATAAATATCAAATTTTTATTATTTTAACTTTTGTTAATTAGTGATATTTACAATTAAATTTATACATTGGCAAATGTGATAACTGTAATGTGCCAGCTAATTTATTGGAAGAAGGGTGTTTATTTGTTGTTCGTTTAATACATCACAAGAATTGTGTTTCATATAAACATTTTCTATTAGATTTATCTTTTGACCGTTTATTTAAGATTTTTTTTTTACTCTTTTTCAGGCTTTACCAGATATTCAGGTCTTTAGTATTTGACGTTAAGGATAAATTTTGTTGATGCCCCATATTACCTTATAAAGGATCGATGAAAAGGGGTTCACCTATTTCAAAATATCAATTTTTTTTTATTGCTAATAAAAATATTTATTGTTGAATTTATGCATTGGTAAACATGATAAATGCATCGTGTAAACTAAATTAGAGCAAAAGAAGAATTAATTTGTTTCTCGTTTTATATATTACAAGAATTGTGTTACATATAAACAATTTCAATTAAATTTATGTTGTTCTCATTTAATTTTACCCATTTTGAGTTATAATCTAAGCATATTTGTATTTTATGTCATTTCTTTTAAAGTATAAACATAGACGAGTTTCCTCGTGACTGTTTAATAGGTGTGCTTATTTTTTGATGCTATTAGTTTCTTTCACATTGAGGGCTTCAAGCAATAACCATGAGATCAATCTATCTTTTGACCCCTTTTTTAAGTTTTTTTTTTTACATATTTTCAGGCTTTACCGGATATTCAGGTCTTCTGTATTTGACAGTTAGCATGAACATTATTGATCCCTCTCATGACCCTATTTTTGTTGTTATTTAGTTTTGTCTTATAAAAAATATTATGTAACTTCTTATACATACAAATGGTCCATCACATGTCCCTCCCTCTCCCTCTCCCTCTCCCTCTCCCCTTAGCCTCGTAACATTAAAGAAGATCTCGTGTTAGCACTTAGCAAGATCCTAAAAATACATTTGCTATTTTGGACAGTTTTTCTTTGCTGGTTATGTTTTAATTATTTGATAAATTAATATGTATTTTAACATATATTTCCTCATGCAAATATTTCCAATGCAACGATTCTCCTACCAAAATATATTTACCTACTCCTAAAGCAACTATTCCTATTTATAAAAATATTCATTTACTCCCAACTTGAATATTCATATTTCTAATGTTGAATTAATTTCGCAACACCTTTTTTTTTTTTTTTTTTTTTTTGAGGAAAATTTCGCAACACTTGATATATGTGACAACTAATCATTACGTTATACTATCTCATTTTCCTTAATATCTGCGTAAAATCATTAAACTTAACAATTAAAGATTATATAAATTGATGTGTCAGCAATCTTTTATTGTAATTATTCTGAGTATCTATTTTTAAGAGAAATTATCTTAAATGACTTTATTAACGTCATATTGTTACATAACCTATTAAATGTAATAATTGACTATTATTTTAAAAACATTTAATAAAAAGTTGAAATAAATCTTTAATTTATAGAAATGCCCTACAAAGAAGATACTTCAATTAAAAAATATATTAAAGAAAAAGAAATCACTTTTAGTAATATATACACCTCATATTCAAGTATAACATAATAATTAAAATATACAAAAATGATGTACTTAAAAAAAATCAATTAAGAAAGAAAAATGGTGTACTTAAATAAAACGAAGGGAGTATACATTACGGTCCAAATCTACTACACCCAAAAATTGGTATAAGTATGAAAAAAACTGTATAAAAATGAGAACCGATTGAATAAAATAAGTATTGCAATCAATTATACGGGTACGTATGCTAATATATACTTTGATCAATAATATTTTTAATCATCAATATAATTATTTATTATAAAAATTTGATATTTAAAACTATGCATTAAAATAATTCTAACAAATATCCGTATAACTATATAGTCTTTTTTTTTTTGTATAAATCACAAACATTTGTCAAAAGTCAAACCGTAACACTTAAAAAAAAGGAGGGAGTAATAAGAAACGGATTTAGGCAGGCCTATTTGTACTCCTCTCTCTCTCTCTCTCTCACTCTCACTCTCACTCTCATTCTCTATTTCCCTCTTTCTCTCTCTAATTTTCTCTTTCTTAGTTTGCTAGCACACTCAACTTTCTCCATTGAGACTTCTGAAATTTCTATCCTCCATTGAAGCAACTTCTAAGGTATCATTTTTGTAATCACCCCTTAAAAATTTATGATTCTGTTGGGCTAATTAAAATGTCAGTTGTAATTGAATTAATTAAAAAGATTTCTGGGACTTTACCAGCTTTTATTTTTATTTTTATTATTATTACCATTCCTATAAACAATTTCAGAGCTTTTTTTTTTTTTTTTTTTTTTTTTTTGTTTTTTTTTTTCCCAAAAGTTGTTGATTTAATTTTTTTTTTCTTGTCTAAATAAATTTTCCTGAATTTTGCAGGTTATAAATAAAGGAAAATTGGGTTCAACCTGAAGGAGATTTTGCTGGAGAACATAGTTTTGAGGAAGAAATAATTTTTGGTCAATTTTAATTTTTGTTCTAAAAAAAAACGATTTTAATTATTTATTTTTACAAAAATAAAAAATAATATATGTTTTTTGTTGGAGAGTGATTTTCCAAAGAGTTGAGATGGAAAATTACAAAGGAAAATCAATTCCAATTGTAAATGATTTTGGTATCAATGGGCCATGGATTCCATTCACCCCTTTGAATCCTCATCTTGGACCGATCAATGAAAATGGTGATGTTGGAAATTATTTGTCAGCATTTTCTCAACAAAATAATCATGCTCAAACTCTTTTATCTTATTCAGGAACTCCTCCATCAATTAATAATGGTATTAGCAGTATTCCTAGTAGCAGTAGCAATACCAACCATCACCAACACCTTAGGTATGATGATGGTGGTAGATTAATGCAGAGAAGGGGTTTAGAGTATTATCTGCCTGCTTGGAATAGCCAAGGTATGAGAACTAATGTGGCTTATCCTTGGACAAACCCGACAGCAGCCGCGGCTCAGGGTAGTTATATCAGTGATTACCCCTACTTGAGTTCTTGGGAATCATCAATGCCGTGGACACAAAATGGGATCGGAGATGGCACATTCCCCGCCGCCTCCGCCTCCGCTGCAGCAATGGAGCAGTTTGAGACTATGTCATATACAGGCCTTTTATGCAGTAATGATATTTCTGGTCTGGGACTAGGAATGGGAAGTGAAGCAGTTTACCAAGGATGGGATTACAATCAGTATCTTGGAGGATATAATACTGATGTGTATGGAAACCCAATTTACAACCCGATTTTCCAAAGAGAAATGCAAAGTTGTAAGTTTTCTTGTGTTTTTCAAAAGCTTAGAGTATTTGCTTGTCAAATTGTTATGTGAAATGTGGGTATTCTTACCATTTTGCTTAGTCTTTCACAACATTCTTAGCACACATGCAGACCTCTAAAAAGTGGTGTAAATCTGGGTAAAAAAAACAGGGATGATTTTAGTGTTTTGTGATGAATATAAATACTCCCTCCGTGTTTTTTTTCAAGTATTACAATTTGATCGGCACATAATTTTAGACAATTTAATTGACTTAAATAAAATAAGAGGTAAGTTGGGTACTTGGAGTATTAAAAAAATATAAAAGAAAGACATTGGAATTAATAGTTTATTGAAAAGTAATGTGAGAGAAAATATATAATAAAAAAAATAGTAGTGGGTTTGCGTGGACCATGAAAGGAGAGATATAAAATTTTAGTGTAGCTTTTTGCCAAAAAAAAAAGTGTACCACTTAAAAAAATACGGCCGGAAATGAGAAGCGTAACACTTAAAAAACAGAGGGAGCTACAATTGAAATTAAAAAAAAATATATATCCACATAAAATAGACATTAAAAAAAATATTGTTAAGTAGGATTGCAGTAGTTTTTTGTTTGAAAAATATTACTCGTAGTTCCTATCTATTTTTTGTCGTGTGGTATGGGTAATTTATTCACTGGGTAGACGATTTTTCTACGGTATTTACCATTTAGCCATCTAAATTGATGATATGGCAAATTAAAAATCTAGTAAATATTATTAAAGTAACAACCACTGACGTTATCATTGCTTACGTGTCATTCTCTTATTTAATTTTTTTTCCACCAAAATGCAAGGATGATGTCATATTGTTTTCCCCTTTTTGAACTACCCTATTTAACATTATTTTGAAAATTAAATTCAAATTAAATTTTAAATTTTAGATTTTCTGCGCATATTACGCTATTTAATTATTTACAAGTAGTTGTTAAAAATAGTTAATAATATAGTTTAATTGATTATTCCTAATTAAATTTGAAAATAATGGATTTTTGGAAATTGTATTTTCACATTTAATTAGAAAGTAATTAGGAAGACAGAGAAAGTAGTTGTTTTCAACATGTTCTAAAGAGCCTATAATTTATATCATATTTTAAAACCGTACATTGCACGGGGCTAACCTAGTGTAAATAAAAAAAAGGAAAAAAAATTAGTTTCAATAACCCGAACTTTACACAAAATTCTTTAAAAAATCCCAATTTTGAATAATCCTAACTATGGATTGTTTATTTTCTTCAATCTTTATGACCGGTTACTTGTTAAAAAGATTTTTTTTATAATTAAATGCCACATGTCAAGAGCTAATTAGCCAAAAAAAATTATCAGAAAACCAAGCACCTCCTCCTTCCCTGACCAGCCCCACCACCCACCGAAACCCCACTCATCCCGCACCGGAAAACATGCACTCCTCCCGCCAGCCAACCCATCCCATCCACCCTCCTTGAACCACCAACCGCATTCTCCATAACCCCCTTCCCTCCCCTCGAAACACCCACAAAACACCTCCCCCACCCCTCCAAAAGCCCACGAAACAACTCTCCCACCCTCAAAACACCTAACCCAGGTTATTCTGGGTAGGGGGAGGGGTTTCGTAAGTGTTTGGAGGGGTGGGGGAGGGTTTTGTAGGTGTTTGAAGTTATGGGGATAGCGTGGTGGTTCAAGGGGAAGGGGTAGGGAAGACGGGACATATCACAATTAGACACGTGTCACATAACCTGTTATAACATGTCATTGACTTTTGTTGACCGGGTTGGGAATGAAGAAATTAAATACCCCCAAAATTTGGGTTATCTAAAGAAAACAAAGCAAACTTGAGATTATTAATATAATTTTTCCTAAAAAAACCGAGAAAAGAATAAGGAAAGATGATGAATGGATTCTATGCTTGCAAATTGAAATTTACTTACATCTTTTTTTAAATACCTTTCATTGGATATTACTGTTCTGACATTTCCCTAAGCTGATACTGAATTGCTGACAATAATAAGCAACGGTGTTGTAGGTGCTTCTCCTCATCAGTACCAGAGTGTTTATGATGCCAACTCTTCTCAAGATACAAAGCACGCAAATGGAAATTATTCCAATTTTGCTCCTGCAACTCCAGACTCTCGGTGGAGAATTGATAGTAATGAGGCTCCAGGGAACTCACCTTTTGGCACTTATCAAAGGTCAACTGAGCAGAACAGGTTGCCAGAACAAGTTAAACAAGTTGCTGCTGCTGTGATGATCAACGTTCACAATGTTCAAGAAGGAGTCACCATTCCCAATACACAAGAATCATCAACTGGTAAGGTCTCCATGACAGTAGAGAATCACAACCCTGACAAGGGAAGCGACCAAGTTATTGACCTAAACAAGACACCACAGAAGAAAACACGACGGAGAAAGTACACACCAAAGGTCTTGAGCGAAAAGAAACCTAAACATACTCCAAAACCTAAAACCCCCAAGCCCACTGATCCCAAGGAGGATACACAAGTTAAAAGAAAGTATGTGCGGAAGAACAAGGTGAACACACCTTTGGAAACTGCTACAGAAGGAGAGCAAACACCAGCAGGAGCAACTGAAGCAGGAGTGTCAACACCAACAGGAGAAACTGAAGCAAGAAACTCAAAACAATCAGGACTTGTCGCCAAGTCCTGCAGAAAATCCTTGAACTTTGACTTGAATGGACAAGCAGAAAGTAACTTCCCTCATATGCCAAATGGATATTTGCATGTTGTGCCACAGCCAAACATGTGTGACACTACTCTTAGAATGGGCCAAGAATTGATGGTTGAAACATCCAAGGTGTGTACTGCTTATGAGCTTAACTATACCCAACATCAGGAACTCAAAAAATACCTCTCACTTCCCACAAAAGACTACCAGAATAATACACAGCCTGACCTGATTAACCTCTCCAAGGAAATAGATGAGGGTCATCACAGTTTGTTAGGAAACAACACTGAGGTTTCTTCCAGAAATGAAGCTCATTTGGCACAAAGTCCCAATTCAAGCCCTTGTGCAAGTTCTAACGAACAGAAAATTTCAAGAGGATCAAAGAGGAGAAATTATTGCATGGCAGATATTGCCGCAGGAAGTGTGGATGCTGCCAATCACTGTACCTTCTGGCAGCCAAACCACTCAAATTTTGGAAATGCTACTACTGGAGAGCTTCATACATTTCTCTTTCCCGAAATTTTCAAGAAGAAGAGAACTGAAAAGGTACAAAGGCCACACATACCAAGTATGCCATCTACTACTGCTACATCCGAAGATATCAACCTGGTAGCCGACACTCAAAATCATTCAAGAGTTTATCCCACCACATCAAAGTACTACTGCAACCCTGCTTCTTATAGTAATAATGCAGTGTCTCATAATCATGCTGAGTTACTTATGGGAAGCGTTGAGGACACGGTGCAGCCCTTGGATAGTTGGACTGACATGGCAAAGTTGAAAAAGAAAAAGAGATCAAAAGGCACTACTCGTGTTAGTGATTTGGCCCCACTGAGGGGGAAACCAGGACCCAAAGGTCCTCGCAAAAAGACAAGTAATACTTCAGAACATGCTTCCACAGAGGCCCTAGAAGTTGACAGCACACCAAAGCCAAGATCAAAGAGGGAATCTAGGAAACAGAATTCTTCAAACAAGAGGGACCTAATCTTGTATGATGCTAATCAGCCTGCCAGAAAAGCAACAGGTAAATATTAGCTAATCAGCCATTTACATCATCCAAAGAGGAATATAACTCATTGTGCCACTTGCTGCAGGTTCTGTTCCAGCACTACCATGGGTAAGAACTAGCTCCAGCTCCATTGAAGATTTGACTGAAGGAATGAAGCTGCTGGATATCAACAGAGAAGGCTACAGCTTTTCACTTCAAGAACAGAATGCACTGGTCCCATACAAGGCAAAGAAGGTAAAAAATGCAAGAAACGGGCTAGTTGTTTACGGGAGAGAAGGGACTATAGTGCCATTTGACGGGCCATTTGATCCTGTTAGAAAGAGACACCAACGGCCTAAGGTTGACCTTGATGATGAGACCACTAAAGTGTGGAAACTTCTTCTTGAGAACAGTGACAATAAAGGTGTTGATGGAACTGATGAGGATAAAGCAAGATGGTGGGCAAATGAACGAAGTGTCTTCCATGGGCGTGTGGACTCATTTATAGCACGCATGCGTCTCGTTCAAGGTATCATACTCAAAATCCCTTTCATCTATTTTTTCATTTTTCAGTAATATAATAGTCCTATGGTTTATTCTAAAGAGAAAGAAAATAAGAATCACAAAGAGAGAGTCTCTAGTACATTCCTAAGGGGCTGGCATTCCAAGGTTGTAAATCCTAAATTAATACTATAAGCCTTGAAAGGTATACAGATTATTGATTTTTGAGATTAATCTAGACAGGTAATGTCTAATACAATTAAAACCTTGATGCTAACATTATTACTAGAGAATGTAATTTTGCAAAATAAAAAGTATACATGATAAAAGATAATAACTGTAGAGTTAAAATGTTTAACTTGATTACTAAAAATCATAAAAACAAGTCTTGGAACTTAATGTAAGATATAATTTATTTGACAAAAAGATCTGAACACATTAATATGCTAAAAATTATGCATAGCAACTAAATCAGCTACGAGTACATTTCATTCATTATTACTAGACAATGCAACTTTGCAAAATAAAGAGTGTACATGATAAAGATGATAATTGAAGAGTTAAATTGCTCAACTTGATTACTAAAAATCATATTACAAGTCTCGGAAGTTTGTAAGATACATATTATTTGGCAAAAAGATCTGAACACATTCATATGCTAATTATTATGTATTGCGAGTACATTTTATTCATTGTGAAAAGAGATTAAGCATATCCATTAATCAATTTTCAATTTAGACATGCCATTCAACAGATATCAATACTGAAATACTGATTGATGCATAACACAGGTTTGAAGCCTTAGAAAATTTCATAAAAGTTGCAATTATAGTTTACGAATTTACCTTCAGCCATAGTAATAAAGTTGGTAAGTAACAAAAAACGTTTGCTTCATACAGGAGATAGACGCTTCACTCCTTGGAAAGGCTCTGTTCTGGACTCTGTTATCGGAGTCTTTCTTACTCAGAATGTAGCAGACCATCTTTCGAGGTAACAACATGCTGAAATTGAGAGATCAATATATTCCATTAAAAACATACTTGAGTTGAGTACATAATTAACATAGTGTTTGGATAAAGGAACGGGAAAGAAAAGAAGGGGAGGTAGGGGAGGGAAGGGAAAGGAAAGGAAAGAGAGGGGATGGAAGAATTGAGGAGTTTTTCTTCCAAATCTCTCCATTGTTGGAGGGCTCAATTTCTCACAATTTAATCACCCCATTTCTCTCCCCTCCAATTCCCTTTCACATTTGTTATCCAAATGAACCCCTTCAATTCCCTTCCCTTTTTTCCTTCCATCTCCTTTAATCCAAACACACTGTAAAAGGTTTTCAAGAGAAATTACAGAGAAGGTAAAAGGGTGGAAATCAAAGTTGACTCATGAGCGGGTGTTCAAAAGTTATTATCTCAACCGCCGGGGGGGGGGGGGGGGGGGGGGGGTAAAACTTCCCCTCTACCTCTTCCTCCTTCCTGTCAAACACCAATTCCACAAATCTTCCCCTATTCATTTAATTTAACTGTTATCCCCTGAATTCTTTATCCTTGTCTAATCATTCCCTGAATGAGAAGTATCTTAAATCTTGTTTGATTGCAGTTCTGCCTTCATGAAAATGGCTGCTCATTTTCCACTCAAGTCAGAAGGGAGTGAAAGTACCCTCTCAGTGGAGTCAACAACTACAACTGCTTTGGCTGTTGAACCAAATATTTGCATAATTGAACCAGAGAAAAGCATTACTTGGAACGAGAAGACAGATAGTGAAGAGAAGGATGTTGTTAGTAGCAAAGAAGTGACTGGAAGAGCTCCTGGTTCAGTTAGCCCTAAGGATTACTCCAGTGAAAACAGCCAAAAAACCCCCAATAATTCAACAGTTGATAATGCAAATAGCCAAACTACAGAGACAGAGACAGCAAGTGTCTTAGGAGATGACAGAGCAAACGATGATGCAACTTCATCACAAGATTTACAACACTCAGCAGTGTCATCCCAGAACACTATCAACTCTCCAAATCTGCAGACTGCTGGAACAATGAGCATTTTTTCAGAGAATTATTCAAATACACAGCCTTTAGTAACTGGCTCCCAATCCAATTATTTTGATTGTTCCACCTTGTCTGTGAGTCGGCTAAAGATGGCAGAGAGTCCCTTCCTTAATGAACCTTACAGCCAAACCCAACAAGATCCGCTAGAGTGCATCAATCATGTAACAATCAGTTCTCTAGAATCACAAGGATTCTGCGCAAATAATGACCAGTTGAATCTGAATTTTCAATTACCAGACGTAGATAGAAGATCTCCCCATATATCAAGAAAAGATGAGAACAGCAAACCAACAGAACAAAGCAATCTGACTACAGAATCAGCGGTGCATCATTTTGCACAGGAGAAAAGTTCAGATAGCATTCCAAGATCTTTTCCTGATAATAACCACTCATTTCATGTTCTTGAGGGTGATAACATGGTGATGCATTCACAAAAGCAGTCAATGAAGGAGCCATCACATGATGTTTCATCTGCAAATGTTCAAACAAGTTCAAACTGGAAAAGTGCAAAATTGAAAAACGAAGTAACTACTGATGTTACCGAAAGTACTGCAGAATTAAAAAGGGCAAGCAATGATCTGAAAATAATTGAGAAAATATCTGAACAGAAATATGCATCAGGTGGAATTTCAGCGATGACAAATGCAAGCGCTGGCGAATCTGAGAAAGGAAAGGCAGAGGTAAAGGCTAACGCATTTGACTGGGATAGTTTGCGAAAACAAGTAGAACCAAATGGTATAAAAAAAGAAAGAACAGCAAATACAAGGGACTCAGCAGACTGGGAAGCAGTAAGACACGCTGATGTGAATGAAATTGCTGAAACCATTAAGGCTAGGGGCATGAGCATCAAGCTTGCAGGTCGGATAAAGGTGAGATTTATAGCTCATATATTCCACTTGTACAAATTTATCTGAGTTCAATCACATAAATTGTTTGCATCATTACTCATGTCAAATAATTGTACAGCGTCTGTTGGACAGGCTGGTCAAGGATCATGGCAGTATCGACATGGAATGGCTGAGAGACATTCCCCCAGACAAAACAAAGTATGAGAAAATAAATCATACGGAGTATTAAATTTCTCCTTAACACCAGCCATGACATGAACTACCATTAACCACTATAATGCCCAATTTTTTGTTAATGATCCAGAGAATACCTATTGAGCGTAAAAGGGTTGGGATTGAAGAGTGTAGAATGTGTGCGACTCTTGACACTGCACCATCTTGCTTTCCCAGTAAGTCTACTTACTGGTTCCATTCAAAAAAAAATTTAAAATTGAGATTTCATATTGACTGTTGCTATATTCAGGTTGACACCAATGTTGGACGTATAGCTGTGAGGCTAGGATGGGTTCCGCTTCAACCCCTACCAGAGTCTCTTCAATTGCATCTTTTAGAACTGTAAGCTCTACACAGTTTATGTTAATTGCTGCACAAATGACAATTTTCAAACGATATTAACACCATTTGCTGTCTCAGGTACCCTATCTTGGCATCCATTCAAAAGTACTTATGGCCACGGCTTTGCAAGCTGGACCAGAAGACTTTGTAAAAACAATATTCTCTTGATGAATTTTTTCTCTTTAATTTGATTATTGTATTCTTAAATGAGTACAAACATTAACAATTGAAAAATGTTATTGAATTTATCATTCTATTTGATGCAGATATGAGTTGCACTATCACTTGATCACTTTTGGAAAGGTACATTGACATTAAAAAAAGCTTTGTAGCCTTTGTTTTCATTATAGATCATAACAGGATTAATTTATATTACATGCAGGTATTTTGCACCAAACAGCAGCCTAATTGCAATGCATGTCCCATGAGAGGAGATTGCAGACATTTTGCCAGTGCATTTGCAAAGTAAGCATCCCAATTAAAAAACTTACCTTACAAGGTTTTGAACAAAACATCAAGCAGTTGTAACAGCTGTTAGCTCGCTTGAAAAAGCCTCCTTAAAATCTTGGAGAATTTTGTCTGCAAAACCTAGCAACACCATACAATGAAGTTTGAGCTCATTTTAAATGGTCTAAAAAAATATATAATGATAAAAAATACAATTGTTATCCTAGGAAGAGGCATGGGTTAAAGATGTATGATAACAGACTCAACCTTACAATTCACCTAAAATTATTTTTATCTTAGTGAATCATATATTGTCCTTGGAAGAGGTTTTCCCTCAAAAAAAATTCTTAAAGTGGCAAGGGTGAAATATATAATTACAGAATGAATTCTTGTATTACACCTTAATTTTATTTTTGACTATTAAAAAGTGATCATGCCTATGGTATATATTCAAAATTTTAAAAGTACCAGAGTGAAACAAATGAATACTAGATAGGTTATAGAGAAGACCTATTTGTAAGCATAGACTAGTATTGCCAAACAAGTTTCCCATATTATACATAAAGCTGCTATGTGCCTTATGTGTTACTAAACATTTATATTTCGGTAAATATTTGTTGTTTGCTGCAGTGCTAGATTTGCCCTTCCAAGGCCAGAAGAAAGAAGCATTATGCCTTCAAGTGGGGGCAGTTCAGCACATCCAAATTCTCAAGCTAGCACCAATCCTTTGCTTTTGCCCCCCTCTTATTCACAAAGCAACTGCGTTAATGGTGCTCCAATAAGTGCAGTTTCATCTTCCCCACTGGCACTACACTACCAACAGACTCAACTGGAGAGGCAATCTGAAATTAGGAACTGTGAACCAATAGTGGAAGTTCCTGCATCACCAGAACCATTACCAGAGCAGGAACAAACATTATGTGATATTGAAGACACATTTTACGACGATCCAAATGAAATCCCAATAGTTAAAATTCATATGGAACCATTGTCTCAGACTCTAGAGAATTGCAGGGATAGAAATTCAAGTGCCTTGGTGGCTTTAACACCTGAAGCTGCTTCCATTCCAACACCAAAGCTCAAGAATATAAGCCGACTGAGAACAGAGCATCATGTGTAAGTTAGCAACTCCATCCAAATCATGTATACTTGGAATGTTACTGTGACATAAATTCAAGATTTCCTAGTCTAGGTCAATAATTAAGGCAAGTTGGATGTGGTATGAGTACATCCCTACTCCCCTTTTCTTATCTTTTGCCTGTTTTATCGGGTGAAAATGTTAATGAAATAAACAGAAACCACTTACAGCTATTTCTCATGCAGGCTTCTAGCTAAAACTTTAATGTATACACACGCTTTCAACTAGCACGTCTAGTTGTATGCAATTTACTAAAATAAAAATAAAATTTTAAATTCAAGTCCCTTCTCAAGAAATATATGAATGTTTTCTATGCAATTTACTAAAACAATATTATATTTTACTAACTCTTTTCTGTATTACATTTGCAGCTATGAACTCCCCGACACACATCCTCTCTTGAAAGGGGTAAGTTATTTTTAAATTGCATTATCTGTGTACACTTTTTGCCTTGGTTACTTTCTCACTGTCGCTGCACAATTGTAGTTGGGAAAAAGAGAGCCTGACGACCCATGTTCATACCTACTTGCAATATGGACCCCAGGTCGGTACAATTAGTTTACATATATCATCACAATGATTCTACTGAGGACAGCCAGGGGGCTAGTTCCATTCCAGTTTTCATCTCAATAACTTAGATCAGAGATGCTAATTGATGGCTAAAACAGGTGAAACTGCAAGCTCTATTGAACCTCCTGAAAGAAAATGTCACTCTGAAGATCCCAGCATATTGTGCAATGAGGAGACATGTTCTTATTGCAACAGTCAGCGGGAATCAAACTCCCATAGCGTACGGGGAACACTTCTGGTAAGAGATTAAAACACAAACTGCATATATTGTGTTTACCTTCATTTGACATACTATGTCATGCTTGCCTCTATTTTTATATTCAGATACCATGCAGAACTGCAATGAGAGGCAGTTTCCCACTTAATGGAACATATTTCCAAGTGAATGAGGTAGGTTCAGTCGATTGGGTACATAAGAACTAGAAATTTTGTGCAAATCATTCTCCCACTCATAGCTTATTCGAATCGTATGCAGGTATTTGCTGACCATGAATCCAGTATTAATCCAATAGCAGTCCCCAGGACTTTGTTATGGAACCTTCCAAGACGTATGGTTTATTTTGGAACATCAATTCCAACCATCTTTAGAGGTACTGAAAGAAAAACTGCTTTGACTCCACACATGTGAGGATATTCTTTGTTCTCATTTCTAAAATTTACGTCCAGGTTTGACCACTGCAGACATTCAACGTTGCTTCTGGAGAGGTAAGCAATTATGGCACTAATCCTTAAGCAATTTAATCACAAATATTTCCCTCCCCTCTTGCAAATATTTCCATATCACCACAGAGATAGTAGAAGCATGAAGTACGAATCAAGGAAGAGAATTATACTTCTGACACAATAATATTGATAAAGAGGAAACCAAAAAACTATTGCTAAGACTGTTTGCTTCTTTCTCTCTATACCAGTTCCCAGACCCCCTAAGGTGCTTAAGATTAGTTACCAACTTACCAAAGTTAACCATACAGCAACATGCTTTTAAACAATTATTTCCAATTTAATCTTGAGCCCAAATAGATGAACAGATACCAGTAATGCATATACCAAAATTCCTTAATGCTACTCTTTAATTCCTTCCATGTGTTATTAATATCCTTGCTGATTTGCCATCATGAACAATCTCTTAAACTGCTTAAAATTGTTGGCATAGATTGCAATGGATTCTTGCAGATATTTAATTTACATATTGGCGTTCAGAAAATCAAAAGTGAATATTTTGGCCCTGTGAACCTCAGTTTCTTCAAACTTAAATTTCAAAGTTCTTAAATCCTTTTGACACCTGATCAAGAGATAGCTCAAAAGCTATGTTGATTCAGTATATTTTCATTTAACCTTGACTGGCAAATAGTAATAGATAACAAAATAGTAAAAAGTAGAGGTGATCAAAAATTGAACCGGGCCGGGCCTTGACATTAAAGCTCATGCCCAAAACCACAAAAAAGTAGTGGGCTTGTCGAGCCAAGCTGGGTTAAGCCAGGTTCGGGTTTTTAACTGAAAATGTAGTTTTAGGCTTGCCCAAACCCACATTTTTTCAAGCTAGGTCATAGTTGATCACCTCTAGTAAAAAGTAATAGCAAATAGCATTTTCCAAATTTCAAAAGCATTTGGTATATCAACAATAATAAAAGTAAGTTGAGTCATTTAAAATCAAGAACTAAACAGAAGAGTAAGAGTGCATTTTGCCAAATATAGTAGCATGAGGTAAATGATTTATATGCTAAAAGGTAATGGTTTCCAAGGAAAATCTACTCATCAATATGCTCCAATTTGCCTTTTATCAAAGACAAAATTAAAATCCAATCTACTAATGTATTTACCAAACAACGCATATAAATTATACTACAATCTACTCTACCATATACCTGTATCTTTTTGTTTAAATTTTATATATTGACACAAACAGAAAAAGAAAAAACAAAAAGCATAATAATGAATTATGTTGTGTAAAATTCTATGTACACCACTCTACCTCTATATCAAATTTACATGTTCATGCTTAGTTTTAATGGCAATGCAGGATTTGTTTGTGTAAGGGGATTTGACCGAAAAAGAAGAGCACCTCGTCCACTCATAGCCAGATTGCATTTTCCAGCCAGCAAGACTAAGGGGGCAAAAGGTAAGACGCATGATGAGTAAATGACGATGAACTGGCTGTTGGAGTCACAAAAATATCAGCGAGGTTAAAAGAGATAACAGCGTTGTCTGGAATTAGGAAATGTATCAAGATATTGACCTTGTACATCATTTATAAAGATTGTAAGCAATTTAAATTGATGCTCCAATTGAGCAAGTTTCTGCAGTAGGAGAATAAAGCATAGAATTGCGATCAACATGTGAGTACAGTACTTCATAACAGACAAATTGAGATTAAAAAAAAATTGTTCTCAGTGAAAATTCAGCATCGGCCAATGTTATGCAGTGTTGATGACAAAATTAAAAGTGTCAAAAAATAAACTGGGTAGAATTAAGCTGATATACTATATCAAATTGTACATCTTCGATGAAAGCAGCAAAGCTATTGAAAAAATAAATCATTTCTTAAGGGATATAGTTTATATTGCTTAACATTATGTGAAACACAAAATTGTTAAAAACTTAAAACAGAGTGGGAAAGTAATTTACCAGCAAATCCCAAAGTTCACATGATAGGTTGAAGTGGTTCCCCTAGCTTCTGAAAAAACGATATTTGACAAGCTGCAAGAGGAAGACTTAGAATTAATACCATCTAATCTAATGCAGTTAAAAATTTCAACCCATTCAACAAAAGAAACATTTACCCAAAAATACTTTACTTCTTACAGGTTAAAAACATCAAAGCCTCTTATTATAAACCTAGATTAGCCTGGCTTTAGGTATGCTTGGTGTGAAAGTCAATGCTTGGGCATCAATTCACATGAGACTTACAAGGATCAACAATCAATGGCGCTATAGATAGTGTCCATTAAACGTATTATTGAGAAAGCATATTTAAAAAAGAAAAGGCATCCTACCTTTTAACTGGCTTCTAAATTGGTTCAAAATTCACAGCAAATTCAGCCAAAAAACAAGCCCTGAATCTGCAAGAAGATGAACGGACGCCTCAGTGAGTTCTTATCACCAAAACAAAGCCTTATAACATATCTTAAGTTTCACTTATAAAATCGATTGAGTTACACATGAACCAGGGGATCTTCGCAAACACAGGTTCTAAAAATTTGTAGTAACACACAAACTGAACTGACATTTAGCTTAGTCTTACTAAAAAAATAGTAGAGGCTTGATACATACCAAGGCAGATTTATAGTTTAGGTTTAGCATTGAATTGAATGGTATCACTTACATAATACATTTATTTTATATAGTATGTGTAACAGCTTATATACTTTTCTTGCAAATTGCATCCCACCTTCCAAAAAAAAAAAAAAAAAAAAAATAAATAAAAATTACGTTTTTCTTGTTTTCGGAGTTACTCCATTTTACTCAAAAGGGTTCAGTGACTTAAGACGCCGTCACAGGCTTAAAAAAACCCTAGACAGTTTTAAATTAAATTCGAAAAGATAATTTAATCGCTTCAGATTCAAGTAGAACCTTCAACAATGGTGATTTCTAAAGGATTTAATCGTCGTCTTTTTGACAAATTATAAAGCAAGCTTAATCAGAAACCTAGAATGTTAGAGATTCAAATCTACCACATCAATACAATATGAAATTCACATATATAATGGCCGTCTTTCCAATACATTGAATTCAATTACCTAACATTTTAAAAAATAATAATATTTAAAATCTAATCGACCAGATTAATTAAATGTATTAGATTCTAGATGAACCTTGAAAAATGGTGAACTTCGTCGTCTTTCCAACAATATTTATAAAAATTTCGAGATTCAAATCTACCAAATCAACTTTTTCTTCAGATTCTGGTTAAACCTCCAAAATTAGCAATAAAAGTTTGAAATTGCACATCTTAAAGTATAATAAAACAATTTCAGTTGCTCAAAGTGCGATTATAGATCTTACAAAATAAATCTGAATCTAAAACAAAAATTAAACTTCGAGAATTCGACTTACCTGTCGAAATGAGTGTTCTGATAGATAGAAAAGACGAACACTCGAGACGCCACCATTAGAATTATGAGCAGAGGAGAGAGAAAACAAAGTAAATGGAAGAAGAAAGTGGTTTTGAGGTTTTGCCGCTCTTTTTTTTTTTCAAGTTCCCTCCAACTTTTTAAAGCCCGCCATGAAATCGTGATTTTGCTATGCGGCGAAAACTGTAAAAGTTTGGGAAAGTACTTGATATTCTTAATAATGGTGGTAACATAGGTTCGATTAATCAGACTCACATTATGCTTATCCCGAAAAAGAAAGTATGTGTGTCTCCTGTTGATTATAGGCCTATCAGTTTGTGTAATGTGTTATACAAAATTGTCACTAAGGTGCTTGCAAATAGGTTGAAATTTGTTCTCCCTTCAATTATTCATGAGTCACAGAGTGGATTTGTTCCAGGTCAATTAATCACAGATAATGTGTTGGTTGCTTATGAGTGCTTTCATTACCTCCGGAAGAAGAAAAAAGGGAAAAAAGGGTACTTGGGCTTGAAACTTGATATGAGCAAAGCCTACGATCGGGTGGAATGGAGTTTTTTTGGAGAAAATAATGCTGAAATTGGGCTTACCGGTTAACTATGTGGCCTTGGTTATGAATTGTGTTACGACCGCTTCTTTTGATGTCCTTGTGAACGGTCAACCTTCGAAATCCTTTAAGCCTAGCCGGGGGCTAAGGCAAGGTGATCCACTATCACCTTTCCTTTTTATTATGTGTGCGGAAGGTTTATCTGCTCTGATTAAGGATGCTGAAAATAGGAGACTTATCCATGGGGTTAAAATTGGTCGGAATGTCAATCCGATTTCTCATTTATTTTTTGCAGATGATAGTCTTTTGTTTGTGCGGGCAAATGAAGAAGAGGTGGAAAATGTGCTTGGAATTCTTTCAACCTACGAAGTTGCTTCTGGTCAGAAACTGAATATGGATAAATCTGAGGTGTCCTTTAGCCGAAACATTGAGCAAGAACGGAAAAATATTCTTCAGATGAAGTTATCTTTTAAGGCAGTCGAGGGTCACGATAAATATTTAGGGCTCCCAACATATATTGGTAGCTCTAAAAAACAGGTTTTTCAAAACATTCAGGATCGTACCTGGAAAAAATTGAAGGGTTGGAAAGAATTTTTTTTATCTCAAGCCGGGAGGGAAGTTTTAATTAAGTCAATAGCTCAAGCGATCCCTACTTATTCTATGCAATGTTTCACCATCCCGGTGAGCATACTCAATGAAGTTGAAAGATTGTGCCGGAATTTCTTTTGGGGTCAAAAAGGGGAAGAACGGAAGATGAGCTGGGTGGCTTGGGATAAGTTGTATGTTCCGAAAAGTCAAGGTGGCCTTGGGTTCCGCAATATGAGAGCTTTTAATAGAGCCCTTCTCGCAAAGCAGGCTTGGCGAATTCTTACCAAGGAGGACTCGTTAATGTCAAAGGTCCTCAAAGGCAAGTACTTTCCTAACTCTTCCTTTATGGATGCGAAAATTGCATCACATTCGAGCTATACATGGAGATCGATTATGAGTGCAAGGGATGTGCTTTTAAAAGGTATTAGGAAGAATGTGGGAAATGGTGCTACTATTGATGTTTGGAAGGATCCTTGGGTGCCTAGTCTTCCGAATTTTCGTGTGGTGAGCAGAAGGAACTCAAATGATGATAATCCATCCACTGTCCGTGACCTGATGGTTGACAGAAGCTGGAATTTGGCTGTTCTGAACTCTAACTTTTCAGCTCTTGAAGTGAAGGAAATTGTCAACATCCCAATTCCCTTATTTGATAGCTCGGATTCGTGGTCTTGGCATTGGTCAAAAAATGGATGCTTTTCTGTGAAGTCTACTTACCACTTGTTGAGTATGGAGCATGCTCAATCGAAAGCCTCCAATTCTAATCCCCCAATTGCTTTTGACTGGAAGTGCATCTGGAATTCAGACCTCCCCCCAAAGATTAAAAATTTCTGCTGGCGCGCAATCAGGGGAGTCCTTGCTGCTCGTGTTTCTCTGCTACATAGAGGTATGAGTGTTGATTCTGTTTGTCCTATGTGTGGGGATGCTCAAGAGACTATCTTGCATATGTTGGTGTTTTGTGAGGAGGCAAAGCTTTTGTGGTACCTATCTCCTTTGCGTCTGGAAGTTGGGAAGTATAATGGCAGCACTTTTGCGGAGTGGTGTGGTGGGGTGCGCTTGATTTTCAAGGATCACTCGTGGTGGAATGTCTTCTGGAGCACTTTGTGGGGTGTGTGGCTGCGTAGAACTGACTGGATTTTCGCAGGGAAGAAGAGAGAGATAACTGAAGTACTACACAAAGCAATTAACATTGTTGGTGAGTTTGATTTTGCAAATGATCATGGTTGCAACCACTCTGTTTCTGAACCCCTGGAGTGCAAATGGAATTCTCCTCCTGAGGGAGTTATAAAAGTGAATTCTGATGCGGCTATCTTTGAGTCGAGAATGGTGGGGCTTGGAGGGGTTATGCGTGATAGTGTGGGGGATGTTGTTGCTGCTACGTGTTTGCAGGTAGCAGGAAGCTTCGATGTGGATGTGGTGGAGGCAATGGCAATGCGACATGCTTTAGTAATTGCAATGGAGTTTGGCTTTTTGAGAGTGTGCCTCGAGACGGACAATATCAAGCTCCATTATGGCTTGAGTAAGCAGAAGGAAGATCTTACTGCCTTTGGTTTAATTACCAAGGATATTCTTAAGCTTGCTAATTCTTGCCATGAATGCTCATTTGCTTTTGTGAAGAGATCAGGAAATCAGGTTGCTCATAGTCTTGCTAAGCTTAGTAGTAAGTTTGTTTCTCTTAGAGTTTGGTTGGAAGAGTATCCCATTGAGATACATGAGGTTGTAATGGCTGATTTAGGCCTTTCTTCTACTTAATATTATTCTTATCCCTTCCCGTCAAAAAAAAAAAAAAAGATAACCCAGAGAGTTTTAGGGCATGTTCGACAACATTTTTTCAATATTTTTTTTTGGAGTTTATTTAATCCAGTTAAAATTTTATTTGATTTTATTTTTTCAAGTATATTTTCTCTCTTTATTTAACACTTGGGTTGTCGGATAATTTCGTGGCTATGGTTATGAAATGTATGAGTACCGCCTCTTTTGATGTGCTTGTGAATGGCCAACTGTCAAGATCGTTTACATCGAGTAGAGGTTTAAGACAAGATGACCCTCTTTCACCTTTTCTTTTCATCATGTGTGCGGAAGGGCTTTCGGTACTACTTCGGAATGTTGAAAATAGAAGACAAATCCATGGTATTAAAATTGGTAGGAGTGTCACTCCTATCTCCCATCTTTTTTTTTTGCGGATGATAGTCTTCTGTTTATTCGTGCTAGTGAGAT